ATAATCGAGAGATATAATTTCTGGAAGCTCGAAACTGGCACAAATGAGAAATATACAAGCATATAATGAGAGCTTTTGTTCACGCTACGCTCGTGACATAATCGACCTGAGTGAGAAATAGCTCAATATATGCGATGTCCACTACTATATGAATTTATTTTTAACAACTGTTTCAACTCAAAAATTGAATAATTTTTTGTCCACGACTGTTAAACTTCCTCGAACAAAACGATATAGTCATTTCCCACACCAGTGAATGATAGCGGTGAATAACCATTATTCACTGGTCTAAAAAGTTCGTTATATGTTATATCGCGTACCGTAGCAACTCTAGACCAGTGTGAAAAACAGCTACTGTTTTGCTTGGTGAAGTACATGTATCATGAATATTTCATACAACAGTCGTGGATAATAGTATATTATTCAACAAGCATATAATGAGGGATATTATTCACGAAGGTTGAGTTTATGTCGCGAGCGTGGCGAGGGAAGTGTGGCTTGTCCCTGATGATTGGTAGAGTGATGATCGACTTTTTTCAAGGTTAACGACAAACAGATGTGCTGACTGGGCCTGTCGAGTTCGTGTGACTGGTATTGCTAGTGATGGAATCATAGCAGAGATTTCTGAGGAATATATCCCGGGGAAGTATCTATAAAAAAGTGGAAGGTCGCCGTTCTTTTCTACGGTGTTCTAATAGGGTCAAAGAGTTGGTGAGTGTGGCATCACCCGCCAGGTAAATTTCTCTATTCTGGATGGAATCTGAGAGCATCGATCATAGATTATACCTTCACATCAAGTGGTTGCATGATATAATAACAAACAGGCTCTGTATTCTTTTTCATATTTTTCTCATAATCAATAAAATCGTCATAGGAATAAAATACTCGATCACTGCATGGGAAATTCTCTTGTTTTTTACTCATTATTCTAATTGGCAAGATGTTCGTCCTCAATTCTGAATTCGCCCCTTGGCAGTTGCCCCTCGTGCCCTGTGGTTAATCCGGCCCTGAATTGAAATGCGTATAAAAATACATAATAATTATTTTCCAATTTAATGACTTGTCATCAATGAAGCAACAAAAGGTCATGTTTATTCTCCTCAAACATTTTAATGAAACATCAGAGTTTCGAGGAAAATGTGATGTTATTCCAGAGGAACAATTCGGAGTCAAGAACAGCTATCTGAGTAGAATACCCTGGAGGCAGCAGACAACCTGTTATTTGAATTTTGCGCCGTGCTGAAGCGAATTGATTTATGTTAGTTCAGCATCGTAAAACGGAAGTTATTCATTCCATTTTAAGGCACCTAAAAATAGCGAAAATTTCATCCCCCCAGCAAATAGAGCTTATTATCGCGATATAATTAATGGCTACCAGAATGATTAATTGCTGCTACGTTGGATATCTATCGAAAATACATCAAAAAATTCAGTATGATCACATTTTATACCTATTCTATACTTTATAAAAGAAGGTATTCAAGAATTCAATATGAAAATATTCATTATTCAAACAAATATCATCACTTTTCTGCGTAGATGTTATTCAAATTTGACACCTGGGTATAACTCGTTTTTATTACTGAAATGTGTCAAACATTAAATAAGAATTCTTGTAAATACTAAATGATAGACAAAGTCATCTCTACGACATTTGATGTGATTAAAAACTGTTACATGTTTCGAATATTCATATGTCCGTCATCAGTCTAATATTGGAATCAAATAATTGTCCTGAAATTAAAATAGTTACTAGTGCAATCGACAAGAGTTATGAGAATAAGAGTGCTTACATAGGGATAAACAAAGGTTATGTCACCAACTTTTTCATTATAAAAATGATTATTAGGTGAAGGGTTTGAACGTGAAAAATCTGAATGGGGAAACCCAACAAACCCCTGGAAAACTCTCATTCGATTCGTGGTGGAAACCAACAAATGGCACACATGGATGCGACATTGAAAATAAAAACGTGTCCATCTTGCCTTGTACCATCAGCACACGACGGATATCATCTGACCTAGGCGGAAAGAACCACAGCATGTGTCACACGTCACAAGTCAATAAGAAAGACAAATGGCACGAGACAACATGGTAGTGACCGTCCACCCAGCGGAGATGAGCCATTGGTGTATTGGAAAAAGGAGAGAAGATGTTTGTAGGTTATGATAATGAGGTTATGTTAATGAAACTCAAAATTCAATGGAAAACTGGAAGACCAAGGAAGGAGAAGATTCAACTGATATCTCTGATTATTTCGTGAAATGTAATGAATTGAAAAATTTCAAGCGATCATTATGGGTTTGTTCATTCAGTGAAATAGCACTGTTGTCATCCAAAGAAATGTTGATTTCTGAATCTCTGACAGATTCAATAATTTCCCTTTGAAGCAAACATGTAGAATTTCAAGATCAGTCTGACTAAAGCTATAGGTACGGATGTAAAATGCCCTCTCTAAGGAACTAGGCAAGAACATAATCTTCAAATCTCTCAGGAGGCCTGTAGATCGCTTGCTAAATCTTAGCTCAGCTCGATCCGGTGCTGGTACACTTGTTCACTGTTCTGATGTCGAAGCTGTTGGATGGTTGGTGGTGGTGATCTCCTGAGATTCTGAATTATGTGACTCCACATGCCTGTTAATGGAATTCTTCATATAATAGTAGATTGTTTTATTAGGATCAAAAGTGACACTTTGTTTGACAAGCAAATTTTTCATTTGCGAGGCGGAGCGTTTAGCGAAGCCAAGCGAAAGCAAAATTTGCGAGTTGAACAAAGTCACTTTTGATCCGAATGAAACATGCTATTTTTTCTGCAACCGAAACAATTAACTCAAATGAACATGTGAAGTAACCACCAATGCCGTGCCATATGTATGCAATGCAACAAATATTGACAAATAATCCATGTGGTGAGAAGCAGGTGAGGTTTTCTAGGATGTTCGAATTGTAGTTTCAATATAAATACAACCACAGAGTGACATATTTGTGTATGGACCAGGTGCTCTAATGGCAAATACCGCGCTAGTGCCAGGCATATGAACAAGTTGGGACAATGTTAGGTTAGTGAGCATATCAACAATGATAATAGTGATTATTTATTCCTTTCCATACTACACTGTGTTTGACTTGATAATCAAATGAAGCTGAACAATATCGATGTTTGAGACAAAAAAACTATTGCTTGCCTTGATTATTCAAAAACAAGTTATCCATCCCGAGAATAACGAATGAAATACAGATCAAGCGAGTATTTGAATCTTGAAGGCTTCCTTGATCAAAACAAAAATACTTAACTAAGATGTTTATGATTCCAATACTAAACTATAATATGGTGTATTTATATCTCCAGCATGGGTATGAAATGCCAAATCTGCTGAAATCGAAAACAAATCAGGTATGCGTCTCAACCCAAATAACCAACCGTCACAATGTTGTTTATTCTTGATGACGTCCAGTAGATCCTTTTTAGTTCCTAGGAGCTAAAGTTCAACTTTAGCTCCTAGGAACTAAAATTCTACTTTAACTCCTAGGAACTAAATATGTTGCCTAGCAACATACCAATTTTTGTGTCAGTAATAGAAACGTCAATTTAAGAGCTAATTTTGGTATCAAAATGGACGACTTTTGTGTCGGTTGCAGAAAAAGTCTTTTACTTCTGTAGAGGGCTGCTCCTTGGGTTTCAATCCAAGATGATTTGGGACTCTCATACTCTCTCACGACTCTTGCAGGGACCCATGACCTCTCTTCTGAACTAATTCACCTAATTCTGGCATGATTTTTGTTTGCCGATTGTAATAAAACTCTTGCTGTTGTTGGTTGTTCCTCAATTTGTTCACTATGTCTGGTCTGGCATATTCAACAAATGTATTCTTTGCTATAGGTAAATTGGTTCTATTTGGCCTGCCCAGGAAGATTTCTGCTGGTGAAGGCATATTTGGTTTGGGGGTACTATCGTATATCATCACCAATCTTTGTGGGTCTTCGCCAGGAGATTTTGTCATCACGTTTCTGATTATTTGAACATGTCTCTCGACAGCTGTCATCCGTCCCATGTCAGATAGCTGTAGAGATGGTCAATAGACAGCCATAGGTACGGATGTAACAATATCAACTACTGCGTATTTCATCTATCCACTTGGCGCCAAGAATATCACCCGTTCAACATTGAACGACTCTGCTAAGCCAACTTATTCAGAAACATATGCCGTCAGAATTTCCTTTTCTTCCGTGTATCTTTATTTATTAAACAAGATTCGGGCAATATCATGCAAATCCTCGGTGTTATTTGAATACGACGAAATTGGCGTGCGACAAAAGGGGTGCACGATAGGGGAAAGGGGTAGGAGATATAGGGGCTGCACCGAGTTGAAGAAGTACAGGGTGATTCACCACAAATGTCCCTCCTTCTAGCTCAGTTTTGAACGGCTACCAAGATTTGAAGAATCATTTGAAGATATGTTCGATAAATTTTTTCACCGGTTCATCAGAAAATACAGGGTACTAGGAACGAACGATCTACAAAGTACTAGTTGTTTTCTCTAAATAGAACACCTTGTATCTTATTGCATTTTTGTAGTTTACACCATACACACGAAGACGATTGTGCTGTGAATTTGTTATAAAATAAGTGGTAAAGACGTGAAATTAAAATTATTATGAAGTTAAAACAAACATAGAAGTATCCAAACATCAAAGTTTTAGTGTCAAGTACTGAAAAAAACCGTTCTCTCTGATGCAATAGGCGAAAACAACCAGAGGACCTTATTACCTCGTGAGTAAAGACTATATTTACTTAAACGTTTTTCTGAGTGGGAGAATCAACAAACGTAAATAGTGGGGAACCCATCCAGCTGGCGATACAAATCGAATATCGAATATTTTATTCTTATCTTTCCTCATCAGTATCCACCTCACAGTTCATACATACATAGATTGGGAGAGAGACGCACAGTGAGCACAAAATCTCACGCGGAACCACGTATTTTTCAAAACGAATGTGAAATGAGTCAAGTTACATTACAAGATTTATATACCCTCATTACGAATGGCAATAATGATTTGAAAAGCGAAATAAAGGATTTACGTAATAAAATTTCCTCAGAAGTTGACACTCTGAAAAACCAAATAAAATTTTTAGAAGTAGAAAATGTACAAGTGAAAAGCAAAGTTTTAGGACTTGAAAGAAAAATCAAGAAATATAATTTTATTGTTTATGGCATCGAGGAAAGTGAAAGAGACAATTATTGTGAAAAAATTATCGATGTGATGATTTCTATTCTTGGGATTGATTGCAGTAAGTCAGATTTTCGAGACCTGTATAGAATTGGTAAACCACAAGAAAAAAAGCAACGTCCAATAGTTTGTGAAGTAGTCAATTATAGTTTGAAACAAACTGTTCTCGTGAATGCTAAGAAACATTTTTCTGAATTGAAGAAACTAAAAATTTTCTTCGGACAAGACTATCCTGAGCAAGAATATAAGGAAAGGAAATTTATGAATGAAAAGAGAAAGGAAGCATTAGCAAATAATTTAACAGCAGTTTTCAAAAATAATAATCTAATTGTGAATGGAAAATCCTTCACATATGAAGAACTGAAACAAGAAGAAAATGTGGACATGAATAATCCAGTTGACATCTCATTGATGCACTCAAGTAACACCCAGCAGGATACGACCAGTTGGAACAAACGGAAGCAGGAAGAAGAGGCAGAAAAGGAGGATCCAGGAAAATTTCCAAAGAAAAGCACTCGCTCACAGCTGAAGAAGTGAAATCAAAAATTGGTTATTGATTATTGTACAGTTAGAACCTAAACTACTTTTAATTTAATTCAAATCCTTCACCATTTTGTATTATATAGTATTTATAGTGAAATAAAATTATCATTATTCTTTAAAAAAAAAAACATGGAGGACTATATAAGGAATTATGAGGCGGTAAAGGTAAAGACAGCAACTGCCGACACAATTGAGGAATGCAATACATTGCTCAATAAAAATTCAAATGATAAATTAAACATATTTCATAATAACATCAGGAGCATATCAAAAAATTTTGAGGAATTGCAGGTTATGTTGGAAGAGTTTATTGATCCCTTTGACATTATTATACTAACCGAATCCTGGATTGTTCATGATATTAGTTTGTATAAAGTAAGGGATTACACCACAATTTACTCAGAAAGTAATTGGAATAAATGTGATGGCACAATAATATTTATAAAATCTCACCTAAATTTTAGTCACCATATCATCACACTTAATAACATAAAGGCAATCGGAATTGAATTGAGGATGAACAAGAAAATTTTCAATATTTTAGCACTCTACAGGCCCCCATCTACTTGTGTTTATGACTTCAATTTACAATTGAATAATTACCTCAAACGAAAACAACCAGAAATGCACATAGGCCTCATCATAGGTGATATAAATATTGATATCATGGACGAAAGTGATTACTGTCACGAATACTTGAATATATTGCAGGAACACGGCTATCAGTCTGTGATAAATACTGAAACTCGTATACAAGAGAATAGTAGAAGCTGTTTAGACCACATCTTCTTGAAAACCAAAGAAAATTATGAACTCTTTATTCCAATAGTATTGAAATCTTGCCTATCTGATCATTTTGCAGAGATTCTCCAATATGAATTCCAGAATGAAAAAGAAGAAAAAATCGAAGGAAAATATCTGAAAACTTATCTTGATTACAGCGTTTTGAGAAATAAATTATCAGGGGAAAATTGGCTTAGACTATATGAACAAACTGATGTAAATGAGGCAACCTGTTTTTTCATTGATAAGATCAAAGAATATATATCATTGAGTACCACTCATACACGAATGAAGAGAAATAATTACAAAAGAAATCCTTGGATAACGAATGGACTTGTCAAATCAATAAATAGAAAGAACCTCATGTACAAAAATATTCAGAACAATCCAGGAAACACAGAATTATTAAACAATTTTAGGAAATACAGAAATTCGCTTAGTGAACTAATCAAACAAACAAAAATAAAATTTTATCAAAAACAGATTAATGAAACTAAAAACTGTCCGAAGGACATGTGGCGTTTCGTGAAAAATCTGCAGAAAAATGAGACTGAGAAAAAAGTATTCAAAACAATTAAATCAGGTGATACCATATTAACCAATAAATTTGAAATTGCAGAAACTTTTAATAATTATTTCACGGACATTGGCGCGAATCTTGCTGCAAAAATTAACAAACCTAAACAAAAATTTCATAGTGAACCCGTACAAAATTCAATTTATTTGAGAGAAACCGACGGAGATGAGGTAAGAAAAGTAATAAAAGAACTCAAGAACAAAAAGGCGCCAGGTCTAGACAATATTGGTGCAGATACAATAAAGAATTGTGTTGAATTTCTTGTAGGGCCCATCACGTACATTGTTAATCAAGTTCTAACAACTGGTGTTTTCCCAAAACCATTGAAATTAGCTGTCATCAAACCATTATTCAAAGCTGGAGACAAACTGGCTGTATCGAACTATAGACCGATATCACTTCTTTCAAATATTAGTAAGATAATAGAAAAAATCATAAAAATCAGAATTACCGATTTTGTACAGAAATACAAATTGATTTCAGATCACCAGTATGGTTTTGTAGCACAAAGATCAACCCAAGATGCAATTTTAGATCTTACGGGTAAAGTCTACACGGCTTTAGATAGAAAAGAATCGGCGATTTGTTTATTTATAGACCTCGCAAAGGCATTCGATACCGTCAGCCACCCAGATTTGATAGAAACTTTAGAAACCATTGGATTCCGTGGAATAGCATCAGATCTAATGAAGAGCTACTTAACTGACCGAGAACAATGTGTTAAGATTGAAGATACCATCAGCAATTCAAAAAAAGTACGTTATGGAGTTCCTCAGGGAACAGTTTTAGGGCCAATCCTTTTTATAATTTATGTTAATTCTTTATTCAATCTACCAATTCCGGGTGAGATCACTAGCTTTGCTGACGACACAGCCATATTTTTCAAGGATAAAAATTGGATTGATCTGAAACAAAAAATTAATGATTCCATACCCGTTATCTTGGATTTCTTCAACAGTAAATTGTTAACTATCAATTTGAAAAAGACAGTGTTCTTACCATTTACGAGCTATGAAACAAATTTACCAAATTTTACAACAATCAGCACCATTTATAATAGCCAACTCATTGAAATATCTAGCACAAAAACAGTCAAATATCTGGGACTCACTTTGGACAGCCATATGAAATGGGACAAGCATATTAGTAACGTAACACAAAAACTTCGCTACTACTTGTCGAAATTCAGATATTTCAAAAACTTTTTTGACATAATTCATTTAAAAATAATGTACTATGCACTCATACAGACCCATCTTCTTTATGGCATTGTGGCCTGGGGAGGCGTGACTAACACACATTTAAAAAAACTTGAAATTATGCAAAAATGGATACTTAAAATAATATTCAAGAAACCATACACCTACCCAAGCGACATGCTTTATGAAGAATCTGGGTTATTAGATATTCGTCAAATATTTCTTTTTACCATCATAATACACAAGAGGAAAAACTTGATTACCAGTCAGCATATCCAACATAATCATAATACTAGGTCCAAAGAGAACACATTAGTGGTACCTAATATGTCAAAAACTATTGGACAGAGGAGTTACATTTATTTAGCCCCTAAAACATATAATATAATTCCCCCCCAACTGAAATTATTGAATTCAATGAAACTTTTCAAAACCCAAGTGAAAAAATGGATAATGAGTATGCCTAGAAGTGAAACACAACGCATAATCGATCTTAAAAATAATTAAGTTTGTTGTTGATATTCTGATACCGTTTCATGGTTACCTGTTAGGTCTGATTTAGATTTAATGTAGTTTGTAGTAAGTTATTAAATAAAATATAGAAATTCGTCATATAATAATTATTGAATGAGTGTGACTGAGTGAATAAATTCTCATCAATATGTGATAGCTAAAGATCTTGCATAACAGTAACGACACACAAGAGTGATTGTAAATTTATTGTGAGCGATCCACGCGCGGGTTTTCCCTTGTGGACTTCTTGTTTATTTACATTTATTCTAAAGTGTTTTTTGATCATACTAGAATTCAATTAATGTAATTCACACTGTACTCATATGTATGTATATTTCGTATATTTCGGTAAATAAACATTATTATTATTATTATTATTATTATTTTCAGATTGTCCCTGAGCAGCTGAATTCATCAATGTATAAGGATGTTCGTTTGTATTGCTGCACTTGCTAAAGTTGATTTTTTCCCATAGTTGTCTCTATTCATGGCATGATGTAAACATATAAAGTCATAGAAAAAAATCAAGCTCAGCAGGTGAAGCAAGCACAGGAAATGATCACAGAACTAGGATTTTTTGTGTCGAAACTATTTATCATTGGTCAAAACGTCCCTACCTCAACTTCCGATTGACTATCTACTGACATTCAATAGTTGGAACAGACACAGGGTGATCGGAAATTTGAATCTCCAATCACCCAGTACTGATCCATTTGAATGTCAGTAGATATTCAATCAAATTTTGTGATAGGGACATGTGAGTAGTTTCAACCAATATGGATAGTTTAGGCACAAAAAAGTTGGATAATCTCGATATTGATCACCCTTTATCTCTGTTATCATTACTGCTAGACCTCAAGTGTAATGCATTGATAAAATCAGCTCTTCAGGAAGAATATGAAGACGAAATGAAATACATGGTGTCCCATTAGAATAAATCGAGTAGTACCCTGTAGATCGTTTGTTCCACCTGTATTTCCTGATGGAGCAGAAAAAAATCGGAAAAATTATTTCAGATGATTTCTAAAATTTTGAAATCGGTTAGAAAATGATAGAGCTAGTGGAGGGACATTTATGTTGGTTCACCCTGTACATCTGGTTCGAGTGGAAAACGTGGAGATGTAAATTTCCAGATAATGGCGCACCATCACGAAATGAACGTCATTATCTGGAGTTTGCGGAATTTCCACCGCTTAATTCGAATAAAAGATTCTGTACAGGATGGTTGCAAAAAATCCATAACTGCTAGTTTACAAACATATTTTAATGTGAAATGAGGTTCCTCTAAGAAGGCCTCGAAGGAATTGAGGCTCATGGGTTTGGTATTCATTTTCTCTCATAGGAACAGGATTTTAACTAGAAAATTTCAAATAATTGGTGGGGACGCAGAATTCGAGCTTTCTGTGGAAAAAGCAACTACAATGGGATGAGACTGAAAAGTGCTCCCACAGGAGAGCAATAACATATCTATGACAAGCCAAAAGGTTCACCTACCATTTGCATGACAGAGCAAAGGATCTACTCAGCTCCAGCAAACCAGAGCTAAAACTTATCACATGCTTTCGCACAGGACATTGCCCTTTGTGATATCATCTCAGAATGATGGGTAAGGACGCCTGCTGAGGTGGAAAGTTCAACCGTCAAGCAAATCTAGAAAGCTTGGAGCTAGGAGGACTCGAATATTTTAAGTCAAGGTGATCGAGATGTCGCATTCTACAATCGTTAATGAGCTGATGACATAGCTGATTGTTATGGATATAGGATTCGTAGATTAAATTAACCTATTTCTTGTGCATTTGTTTGAAGATCTTGTAGATGTAAGTGAGGAACATCTGATCCTTCATTTGTAGAAGAACTCGAGCATGGTTACTTAGGAAGATAGGTTCGGTTAGGTTATGTTCCATGTGAATGAGGCAAATACC